GAAGGGAGGGAGGGACTCTCAGCAGGGATGCAGTCTGGGACACGTAGTTGCAAACCTAGCGACTTTGTTGTTAGATTCAATGACTTTTCAGACCCCCTAACGACTTTTTTTTAGAAAGAAAGGGACTTTTATCGACTTCTTCTGGAGTTTAGAGACTCTGACATGAAGCAGGCTTTCCTTACTGAGGAGTTAGCAACGCTGCTAAGGGTGCAGAGCCACACATGCGCTCCGAGCTCTGCATGGGAGACTGAAGCTGACAGAGCTGCAGCAGTTAGCAGGTTTCACCCTCAGAGACCACCAGGGGTTCATGTTGAGGCATTTTCAGTTTTTTTTGTTTTTTTTTTTGCCATAGACACTGTCAGCACAATCTGCAGTTACACTAACAAAAATGCTGCAAAAAACAAAGAATTATGGAAAAATTACACATGGACTGACATAGAGGAGGATCTACACAAGTTTTTTACATCATGTTTTACATCATGCATCATTTACATCATGTTTTTTTGTAGTGGCATAAATAAAAAGTGACATTTGTGAGACTATACAGTGTTTTGTAAATAATTTTACAAAGAACGCCTGGGCCATTGCCTGCATTTTGATGTAAATAGAGGTAAATTACTATGTTCTTTGTTAAAAATTTGCATATGTTTTGAAGTTTACAATTTTTATTTGAAGTTTAAGTTTTAAAAACAGTTCATCACACATATTTGTGGTTTTCACAGTAAAAATGTTACTTTTTTCCACTCGGATTTTATGTTTTGTGTGTGAATTTGGGTCCATTGTGTAAATGCAGTATGTCAAAATGATAAAATAACTGTAAATTCACACAGGTGAGGTTGTGCTGAAAAAAAATGATACCAGGCAAGGCAAGGTAAAACATTTTTAAGAGGAAATATAAAGGTAAAATCTAAAGTAGTCAAAAACAGCCAATAGTGACTCCCAGACTCCATAGACAAGTCCCTTTGGCGCCACTCAGTGGCCAAAACTACTTTGTCTGCTGTAATGTATATTTGGGTCATCTTTGGCGCCCCCTAGAACCTAAACCTATGGGTGCAGCGTCATGATTTTTACAACTTTGACTGGCCATGGGGTGTAAATTGGCCTGGGCAAATTTGGTGTCAGTGGGACGAAGCCTTAGGAGGAGTTAGCCACATTCCAATGTGTGCGAATCGGCAAAAAATGCGTAATAGCCCTTTAACCGTACATTTTACAGATACGTGCCCATTGACTTTTTCGTAGATCTTATTGAGATATACGTGATTGTCAAATTTTGTGTCAATATGACAAAGCATATAGGTGTGACACTCAACAATGTGTATTTTCACCTTAGGGGACAAGAAAAAATGGACTTTTTTCTCCTGCCATGGGGGGTCGCTCTTTTGGGGAGTAAAAATTCCTTCCTAAATGTGTTGATGGCTGGACATTGCATCATCCTAGAAAACTTGGAGGCCAGTGAGGACAAAAATAAAAAGTTATAAGACTTTTAAGAATGTGGATTTTTGGGTTATCTTTGGCGCCCCCTAGAACCTAAACCGTGGGGTGCAGCGTCATGATTTGTACAACTTTTAATGGCCATGGGGTGTAGATTGGCCTGAGCAAATTTGGTGCCGGTGAAACGAAAGCCTTCGGAGAAGTTAGCGAAATTCCAATGTGTGCGGATCGGCAAAAAATGCGAAATAGCCCTTTAACCGTACATTTAACAGATACGCCCGCGCCGACTTTTTTGTAGATCTTATTGAGATACACCTGTGTGTCAAATTTTGTGTCATTTTGACAAAGCGTACAGGCGTCAGGTGAGTTTTCACCTTAGGGTGCGCTATGGAGCCATTTTTCATTTTATTGTTTGGGCGACTTCAGAATATCAAATTTTTCACCAGGCCCGGTCATCCTATTTAATTTCCTGAGTTTTCGCCAGTGGGAAGTGGGCCATTTTCCAGTTTAAAGCGGAGGAAAAATAATGAAGAAGAACCCATACAGGAACAATAGGGCTCTCGCAGCTGCTTAGCAGCTACGCTCGGGCCCTAACAATAGGATGCATGTAGTAAAAATATGTAATGAGACCTTGTCCAGATTGTTGACACCTTTCTTGCACCGGTTGTAATCTATGATGATGCCTGGCTTTATCTTTGGGACTTTATCAGTCACTGCTGCCTCCTGGTATTTGGTGCTGAAGAGGATCATATTTCTCCCCCTTCTCCATACAGGGGCTGACAGCCGTGGTGTTCTTTGTGAAGCCAAAGACAGAGGAGAAAACAGCTCATCCTTGAGTCTGAACCAAGTTAGGTGGAAGCTCAGGTTTGTTCTTTCTAATCGTCCCAACCAGGGCCACTTTCCTTTGCAGGAGCTCCTGGCCAAGGGTGTATAAAGAAAAAAATGTCACATGTGACAGTGACGTCCTGGAGTCCCTCTGTCATCTCCAAGACAACACGCTTGCCCTGGCCAACCTCTGCAGCACCTCCGTCTTCCTGAATGTCACACTTTGAAGCATATGATGTGGTGACATCAGCTGTCACCCAAATCTTCGAGCCATATTTGACAGTTTTTTTGGGCATGTATTGCTGAAATAGCACCAGCTGTTCATCAACTGTGACATCTGTGCCAGGCTTGAAAAGGAGGGGGCAGGTGATGTGTCCACATTTCCCACAAGGGTCTGATAGGTGCAAGCTTGTTCCTCCTGCGGCAAGCTAGTCTCTCAAGCTTGTCATCAATGATGCATTGATCTTGTGAGGATTGTTATTAGGACTAGTTGTTGACGATCCCTACATATTTAGCACAACAATTGAATAGGGTTGTAGATATCTTCTTGGGTTGGGTGGAGATTTCAAAGATCTCATGGTGCCCCCAATATGACCCATCTGCAGTTGTGTACCCCAACCTCATTGGATGTTTTGGCAATTTACTCACAAGACACCCTCTGCTGGGGTTGGCCCACCACAGGCTGATCAGACCTGTGAGTTGCATGGTGGCACCACGTGGTCATTTGGCAGTCCATGTTGTGATCTTACATTTCAGCCACAACCAGTGACTGCTCTGTTTTGCTGCAATGGCAAGTTCTTTGATTGCCTTTTGTTGAGCCTGTCCTCTGATCCCTACCTTCCTTGTGAGGGAACTGGCTACAAAGCCTCTGAGGCTCACCTCCACTTGCCACATCTTCACATTCCAGCCCCACCCCTTTGCTTCAGCTGGCAAGTCAGCATACCACAGCCTCTTAGAGCTGGAATGCCTCACCGATGGCATCTTCCCATGGGACTGTCAGTTTGACGATGAACACACGCTGGCAGGACTTGAACAGGACCAGGTCTGGGCGCAGGTTGGTCACTGCAATTTCGGGTGGGAAGGTGAGCCTCTGGCTAAGGTGTACTTGCATTTCCCAATTCAGGTTTGTGTTCAGAGGGCCTGAGTCTGAAGGTTCTGGCTTGGTCCCCTTCCCGGATGAAGGTTATCTTCTGTGAAAAGGTGTCCAACAACTTCTGAATATAGGAATGTCTTGAACATATTCAGCACATCAAGGCATAAGTGTGAAACCTCGAAATAAATGAGTACTCTGAACAAAAGAGACTAAATTCAAACTTGTCCTTTCGCAGATACTCTGCGGTCTTGAGAAACATCGACTGGGCTCCCCCCCACCATGGTCTTGTACATCGACCAAGCCATATCCTTTGTGGAGTATTTCAGGTACACCCCCACCCAGTACTGCTGCCCCCATTCCTAAAAGATGATTATCATCTAGAGGGAGCTCTGCAAAATGTACCAGGAAGTGGGCCAGACAGTGGTGGGTTGCTAGCACCTGGCCCTTGCTCCTAGGTAAAGCACCATGTTTGGCAACAATTCTGCGTACACATCCTCTCTCACTAAGTTAATTTAATGGCTAAGAATCTCTTTCTCTCTCTCTCTCATTTCAAATGCCTGGAAAAAGCCTGCCCAAAGGACCCCAAGACCAGATACCAGTTTTGCTAATACATGGCCACGATTGTGTGAATTCTGTGTTTCTAAAACAAATATACCAGTGTGATGGTCACCATGGTAAATTATCCTCCAATGATCAGCTTGTCACAGAGTGATGTTCCATTTAAATTCATTAGACTAATTCATTTAATTAAATATAACAAATTCTTGCTTCATATAGAAATAATTTCATCATTCATCTTCACTTAAAAAAAAAAAAAAACAAGAATGTAAATTCATTGGATGAACTCAGTTTTATTAAAACAAATAAGTTCATTTTCATGTTGAAATTTAGAAGAAAAAAAAAATGCTTAAACGCCCCTCCACTAGTTGTAGGGATGTTGTCCACCAGCCAGGTCATACTGCTATGCTTGAACAATCTAGGGAACGTACCCATAGCCTGATGATGTGGCACTTCCAGTGAGCACATATGAGGTATCTTGACATGTCCCTTCAACAGATTAACAAAACACCAATCTATTTGTTTAAAAAATAAGTTAATGATTCATTATTCCATTTTAGCAGACCCGTCAGGGTGGTTGAACAGAGTCTCATTCAACCCTTTTGGGAAAGTTTGCTTATTTAAAAGCATCATTTCTTTTTGTGGCTGACGGAGGCTTTTAAGATGTTCAGTAAAACATACAGTTTGGCATACAGATGGCAGAAGGAGACGTTTTTTTTTATTTCTCCTATTACAGTGTTTATGTGCTGCTTTGATTAAGTTTAAACTGGAAAATCATAACAACAGTAATAGACATATAAACTATGACAGTGACTTTACTTAATGAATAATGGGTAATGTCATGTACACTAAGGGCCTGATCTACTGAAGGTTTGAATGTATAAAAAAACATGTGCCAACTTGATAGTGCACGTGTGGCAGTATGGGCCAACAGCCCAGCTGTACCTTGATTAGGCTGCAGTCTCGGCCTATGCCTTCAGGGGGCATAGTCTTTAAATGTGGGTGCTTGCTCCCTGGGAGCCCTCTCCCTCTGCTCAGAGCGCTTGTCAGCTCTGCTCACACACTCTGCTAATCACAACACCTGGTCACCGTACCTGATCGCCTTGCTGCCGGATTGTGCTGTGTGCTCAGCTCGCTGCTCTTGGTATGTTAATCACATACTTTATTGTATTGCTTTAAAAGTTTTGCGGTTGCCGCCAGGGTTGGCTTTTGTCTCCAACAGTTCCTCACTGGGTCTTCTCTCTCCTGCATTGAACTTGATCTCTCATTGCGGGACCCAGAGTGTGTGTTCCTGCATCCCCACACAGCTGGGGTTGATCAGCTGAGTGGCTGTTGATTGTTCTGTGGCGCTGCAGGTGCCTTTGTTAAGGCCGCCACTATCGCCATCTAACTTTGATTCGACGGCGTTCTGCTTCATGTGAGGTGACGTCAACACCCTTGGGACTAAGTTTTATTTTAGTAACCTGTTGCCTCAGCTTCCTCATTTTGTTGGCATTTAGTTTATTATGGTTTAAATCATTTGTTATTATTTTGTGATTTGTGTGTTTTTGTGTTTTGTTTCTCCGGTTGAGTACTTTGTTTTGTTAGTTATTTGTATTTGGTTTATTTGCATGTTTGTTTGGTTTGGTCATTTCTAAATATTTTGAGTTATTTTTCTTTTTTTTGCTTGCTAGTTTTCTTTATTTTGGTATTTGTGGTTTATTTCTGATTTAACCAGAATTTGCTATTTGCACATCAATTTTATAGGCAACATTGTTGCTATAGTTAAGAGAAGTGTGTGTGTGCGTGTGTGTGTGTGTTTGTGTGTGAATGAGTGTGGATGAATGAGTGGAAAAGATTTTATTAACTTTGTTTATTGGTGAAAATTGTTAAATAAAATTCAAAAGTATTTGTACACTGGACCACAGCCTCCCGTCTTCACTGGCAGACGAACCTGTGTGTGCCCTAGCTTTACATTCAGGGGTAATTCTACTCTCCAGGTGAAATTCCTGGGGTGGCGTTGTCAGCAACAAAATCAATTTCGTATTCAGTAATCAGTAGTTGATTGGTGAATTGGTAAATAGGGGTTACAGTATTTTACTACATCTTCTTCCAAATTCCATTCTCCGTTAACCCCGCCCCCGGCTGCCACACACAGAAAGCTGATCTACTAATGTTGAAGTTAATCCAAACTTCCCTGAGTCCGTTGATGGAGACTGGAAGAGAGGATTCAATGAGGCAAAAAGGTGTCTTCAACAAACCTTTTATTTCGGCACAGCAAATAACACAAGATATCTTGGAGAGCACAACATAAACCCAATGGTATCTCTGAGGTGGTCTGATCACTATTTTTCAGTAGTTAATAGTTATACCCTAGGAGGTGTCTCATCATCTTTATGGGCGGAGAGTTTACATAACCAGCAGTCCTCAGTGTTTCTCTATGGACAAACAAGCACGTATTGTTCTATTTTTTTTACCTGACCGAAACCGTGGTTTCAGGGAAGCTGATCTTGGATGCATCCAGTGCTTGTCTCCTTCATATTTGCGTCATGTATTCCAAGCTTTCACCGAGTTCCCACTGGGCAGACTGCTGGGCATGCAAACCCTCCCTTTACACCTCCACATCTTCTCAGGACAGAGTGATCTTCCTCCCTCGTCCTGTTGTTCACATCTCTGACTAGCACCTGCACATCTGTTATGAAAGGCAGATCATTATCTAAGGCATATGTCAGGGTCATAGAGCACTTTTATAAGGAACACTTTTAATGAATAACTGTGATGATTATAAAGCACACTTTTTAATAAATGACTGTTATGATTATAATACACACTTCAACTAAATGACTGTTAAGGCAGAGCAGTTTAAAACCATACTTACCAACCCTTGGCACTTCTAGGCATAAGCTAAAATCCTTCTATACTGAAAGTCTCTGTTCTATACATTGTGACACAGTGGTCAATTGCCCCCGTGTTAGCATTAAACCTTCTTATCTGACTCATCAGTACATGTCCGCAATGAGCACACAAAATAATGTAAACACAATAAGAAAACAGTTAATTACCTGAAACAATGACTAAATGAATGACCACACTAACCAGGTACACCAAGGATTGCGTCTGTTAAATGAGCAAAATACCACCTGCAATCCATTTAGCTTGTTTGCCTTCATGAATATACAGAATATATACAGATTATCAGAAAGTGCAAAATACTGGGAGGAGATGCAAATGGAATCATGTAGCACCCAAAATATGATTTCTCAAACCCTGAAACTGATTGTGGTGGGTGTTTCTGTGTGTATATTTAGCATGTTGAAAAGGCAGGTGCAATCTGGCAGTAGTAAAGACACATTGTCTATCCAGCAATGCCATTTTTGAGCTGCTGGATGACCTAAAGGCTGATTTAAAGCCAGTAACCAAAAGATGCCATGCCATATATCCTTTGGAAAAACTCTTTGCAACAGAGTATTTTCTTGTGTCTGGATCATTCCAGCGCACCATCCCACTCTGCTCTCCCAAACTCTCCATGGTGACAACCAGTAGCACACACAAAAACCTAAAAAAAGACTGTTAGAAAGAAATGTGGAGGAACTTAATAATAGCACCAATGTTGGGATGGCAGTAGAACAGCTTTTAAGAGGTTTCTGTTATGACCAAAAGTACCCTATTTTGGCGGTGACATTGATGAGGCTCAGCAATTGTTGGTCAAAGTTCTTCTTTTCTCACAATATTGTCAGACTGTGATTTGATTGTTATTCATTCATTAACTGAATTGCCATTTTCAACTGGATATTATAATGAAATCAAAGCCTTCTGAATTTGACACAGCATGAATTGAGGGCCTCAGCTGGTTTCCACCCCTTGGGCAAAGACTGATGGATTTGGCCTCTGTGAGATAAATAATCCATTACCACTTGAAAGAGCAAGAAATGAACAGTGCCCAGTCTGTACTACTTTAGACTGTCTTTATAGGCTGTATTGGGACAGAGGAAAAAGTGCTTAGAAAGTGAATCTCGTTCCACTTCAGTGGGGCAACATAAACTGTGATTCATAAAATAACTCTATAGTAAGTACTAAAAAAAAAAATCTACTCATGCCACCCTGTCGATTTTTAGTAATCAGTGTTTCGGTGTCGAACTATTTCCCTTCTGCGGCGTAGTGATACTTGCACACACGCAATCGAATATGCAGGGGGTGAAGCAATTTTTGTCACGTGGACCAATAAGAGCCGAGTCTCGTTGCCATAGTATCAGAAATACACAAACGTGGCGACGACCGCATCTAGCAGCGAGACAAGCGAAGAGGAAGAAAAGAAAAGGAAAAAAAGAAAACAGTCTTCAAAAGTGCATAAAAATGGAACGAAACGATGCTATATGCATCTATCATCTGTCCAGAGTGAAGATGTTCTCGACTTTACAAGGAAACGTTGGGAAACTTACAGAACTAGTATTAGAAAGTGGCTTTCTCTACAGGGTGAGACAAAGGACCTTGCAGAAACTTATAAACATTGCGTTGATATCGACTTTGACAATGTTCCTGATGATGCTGGGTTTCACATGACATGCTTCCAGCAATTTATTTGCAAAAGGCATTTGAGAAACAAGAACGTGATGCAGCCGCGGGTCAGTCAAAGCCTTCAGGCAGCATCGCCGATGCATCCACGTCCACGGCATCTGAAACTCTGCAAAAGAAACTTCGCTCGAGGTCATAGGCTGTATTGGGACAAAGGAAAAAGTGCCTACACAGTGCCTTACATTTTATTGCTTTTATTACACAGTAGGTTGTGTCATTTTTATGGATGAAACATAAGCTTTTAGCTAAATTTACTGTATATATTTCATTGTGCTGGGTGCAAATCACTTGAGTTGAGACGTTTTCTTCAAGAAATTTGCTACATTTCATAATCTGAATTCACTTATGCATATACTAAGGCACCAATAACTGTTTCAGGTGTTAGGTAGATGTATTTATGACATTTGAGAAAGATTTTGTCTTGCCAGAATCAACATAGCAGTTTCTACAAGCAAATACAGCAGCACCATATAATTGTTTTTTGGGTTACTCACATATATGTACATTTCTGGCTGGTGACAAAAGTCGGACAGATAGTCTGAGTATACAGTACAGTCCAAAAGTTTGGACACACCTTCTCATTCAACGCATTTTCTTTATTCTTATTACTTTTTTAATTGTAGATTCTCAGTGAAGGCATCAAAACTATGAATGAACACATGTAGAATCATGTGCTTAAGAAAAAAGTGTGAAATAACTGAAAACATGTTTTATATTTTAGATTCCTCAGAATAGCGACCCTTTGCTTTTTTGATAGCGCTGCAAACTTTTGCTGTTCTCTCAATGAGCTTCATGAGGTAGTCATGAAATGGTTTTTACTTCACAGGTGCGCCTTGTCCAGGTTACTTCATGACTAACAGAGTCAGTCACTAAGTACTTCTGTCCTCAAAAGCAAAGGGTGGCTATTTTAAAGAAACTAGCATATAAAACATGTTTTCAGTTATTTCACACTTTTTTTATAAGTACAAAATTCCACGTGTTCATTCATAGTTTTGATGCCTTCAGTGATATTCTACAATGTAAATAGTCATATAAAATATAAAGAAAAGACATTGAATGAGAAGGTGTGTCCAAACTTTTGGCCTGTACTGTATATTTTAACTCAAAGTCCAGAATGGTATTGTCTATGCAAGAATGCATTGAACAAGTAGCACCAGCGTAGTTGAACGAAATTCACTTTCTAGGCACTTTTTCCTTTGTCCCAATACAGCTTATGACCTCGAGCGAAGTTTCTTTCACGGAGTTTCAGATGCCGTGGACGTGGATGCATCGGCGATGCTGCCTGAAGGCTTTGACTGACCCGCGGCTGCATCACGTTCTTGTTTCTCAAACGCCTTTTGCAAATCAATTGTTGGTAGCATGTCATGTGAAACCCAGCATTATCAGGAACATTGTCAAAGTCGATATCAACGCAATGTTTATAAGTTTCTGCAAGGTCCTTTGTCTCACCCTGTAGAGAAAGCCACTTTCTAATACTCGTTCTGTAAGTTTCCCAACGTGTCCTTGTAAAGTCGAGAACGTCTTCATTCTGGACAGATGATAGATGCATATAGCATCGTTTCGTTCCATTTTTATGCACTTTTGAAGGCTGTTTTCTTTTTTTCCTTTTCTTTTCTTCCTCTTCGCTTGTCTCGCTGCTAGATGCGGTCGTCGCCATGTTTGTGTATTTCTGATACTATGGCAACGATACTCTGCTCCTATTGGTCCACGTGACAAAAATTGCTTCACCCCCTGCATATTCGATTGCGTGTGTGCAAGTATCACTACGCCGCAGAAGGGAAATAGTTCGACACCGAAACACTGATTACTAATGATTTCAAAAACACAGGACATGATGTTAAAAGATCCAAAGTGCCTGGGGACTCTGCATGGCAGGGGCGTCCTACTCCCTGAGCCAGGTTTGCACCTGACCGCATACATACACACTTGGAGACTTGAGCATTGAGATGTTGAGACAGCTGGACAGACACTTCACTGGGGTTATCAAGTGGGTTCCTACTTTCACCAACGTTTCGCTGATTTAACCCCACGACGTCTCCAGTAGGCTCAGCAGTGTAATCTGGCGTCCCAGAAACACCCCCCTCTGCGTCTGCCCAACCAGTTTATTTGGGAGACCAGCTAGGGTCTTTCCTTTTCAGCCAAAGCCACTGGCTACACCGCTCTGCCACTCTGGATAGATCCTTGATGGCCTGGCGTAGGACTTGTCCACTGATTCCCAGGTCCTTCATCAGCCTCACAGTCGATGTTGCCACAAACCCCCGACATCCAACTTCTGCTGGGCAGACCTTTGCTCTCCAGCCCCTCTGTT